ACGGACGGACGGACGGACGGACGGACGCACAGACAAAGCTAAATCAACTCAGAATTTGACGCTGATCAAAAACATACACTTGAGTCTATATCTAACACTGTTATTTCTTAGCGTTACAAACGGTAAGGCAAATTTAGTATACCCTTCGAACATACGTTCGTACGGGTATAAAAATACGTTATACGCATAATATTCATTAATGTTATACGCATAACATTATCGTCATATGCATAGGAACACATTGATGTTAAAATTTGGTATAATTTTAATTTATCGTTGTAAATTTTAAAAAATTTTTTTTTGGATTTTTGATAAATTTGGAATAAGCTTTAAATTATAACTCTTGAATAATTTATAATTCTCAAATTAAAATATTAAAATTTCTAATATATTCCAATTTATTAGTATTAACGCCGTATAAGAGGTAAAATAACAGACATACCTATACACCTAAATTAATTCAAATTCATAATAATATTTTTTCAATAACCAGTTTTTACACAATTTTGAAAATCAACTTAGTGAATTAGATGATTTAATATTGGAGAGAACACTATTGTAATACGTCGGAATCAGGTTGTCTACAGTATGAGATATGCACCAAATTTAAATTATTTCAAAATATGATTCTAACGCCAGCAGGACTGTCTCCATATAGTTATTAAAAATAAGTACCTCCGCAACATATAATTTCATATTACAGTTTTGAGTTAATCAGAGCACAGTATAACAAAAAAGCAGTATAAAGCAGTATAATAAAACAGACTTTGTTTTTTTGGGATTTGTAAATCCACAAATACATAGTCCATAAATTAGGCACAATAAAAACTGATTATTGTGCCTTCCGATATAATATTCCTCCTGTCATTGAGCTTTAATATCAAAAGTTTTATTGCATAAACTATAGATAAGAAAGAAATGGGTCTATATATAGTTAGCTATGTCAATTCAAATGGCAAGGTTAAAAAATTGAAACTACTTTATATAAAATATTTATTTTATAAAAGAAATTATATTTCAAATTTATAGTTTGATTTCCAAATTCAATCTAGGATTTGATTTGTTCATTTAAGTTTTATGTGATTATCAGCTATCAATATCAAAATTTATAATATACCCTGAACAATATATACGATATAATATTTCTAATAAATTTTAGAATTTTCTCTAACAAAAATTTATTGTCATTAAAATTTTCAAAAAATTTTGAAAAAAAAAGACCCCAATAATGATTTCACATCTTTCACTATTTCTCTTCTAACAATATAAATTAATAATAAATATGGTAAATATAATTTTTGATTGATTTCTAAAGATTTAGTGTGCAGATTTTTTTTTTATTTTTGCAAAACAAAATTTATTTTCAAATATCTTATATCTCTGCTTTGTCTCTGCAATATAATAATGCATTCATATTTTAATTTTTTTGCTTTTCATTCATTCGTATAATATGTACGAATGTATATCGAATGTTTTCACTTTAAAAACTAAAAATCTCTTAATCAAAATTATTTTGACATATTCATTCTCGTCTTATTACGATAAACCTTATTTAGACTGATGATTTATCGTAATGTTGCAGAAAATCATTAGACTTTTTTGAAAGCATGATTAAATTGAGAAAATTTGCTACTATACAGCTCTGCTTCGAATAGCTTTTCTCTCATGTTCTGAACTATAAACATTATTAAATATGAGTTATTTTGAAACTAAAAATATGACGATTCAAAATGTACAAGTGTACGTTTTACATAACTTAAAATTGTACACGAATCGCAAGGGTTCGACAATTTTAATTCAGCTCAATAGGAAATTGAAAATTTTATAAAATCTTGAACAGATTTTAATTAAGAATCAGAAAAGTATATTTATAAAGATTACCGATTTTTGATTTTATTAATTAGGAAACACTCTGCATTTTCATTCGAGATCTTTTGCATTATATTCTTTAAAATTTCTCTAAATTTACGATATTACTCAAAAGATTTTTAACTATAAAATAAAAATCCACTTTTCTTGCTTTTTTCTTTTCTAATATTTTCGCTGAAAGTAGAAAAAAAATTATGTCATACACTTTTATATAGATTAATTTATACAAATATATTTATATACATATTAATATTAATTTTTATCAAATTTACACTTGAAACTTGTTAAAGATCTTAAAAATTTGCTATCTATAAATATTATAATATATTTACGATATGCACGTATATCAATATATACATACATAAATAATATTTATACAATGAAAATAAAAAATAAATAAATAAATAATATAAGCCTTTTCTTGAGTCTTCACAAAAAAAACAAAAACTTTATTATTGATTTGTAAGAAAATTTGAACGGATATTAAATTTCCGCTGAATAATAAGAACCATATTTTAAAAACAAAAACATTATTTTGAAAAATCTACATATTATACATATATACATATGTACATATGTACCTGTTATATTATAAATCAATTATAGTAATAGATATTTGTTTGTAAGATCTTTGGAAGATTTATCTATTTTCTTTTGAACATCTTTAAAATATATGAAATTGTGTTAACTTTATATACCAATAAATTACAATAAGTATATTAATAAATTATTGTTTAAACCAGTTAGGCAAATGGAAATTATAATAAATTCAAGAAATGGTAAAAATTTTTAATAATTTTTGAATTTAATCATTTCTTTAGAATACTATTTCAATTTATAAGAATATAGAAAAAATATATATTGTGAATGAACATGTTTGAAGATTATTTAGATGGAAATTTTAAATATAAGTCATAAATTTTGCAATAATTTCACAAAACGAAACACAACTAACTTATGACATGTGTACATATATACTTGTTCATTCTACCTATCTGTAGGAAATCATTTTCATTCATAGTTTTAAAAGTATTTTATAGCAATTTTACAAAACAATCCCAAATATTAAACACAGTCTATTCAAAATATTATCCATAATTACATACAGTAGAACCGTTATATAATGAACATTCAAAAATTTTATAATTAGTTTAAGTTTGTATTGTATTAAGTTCATTGTAAAAGTCTAATTGTTGTTACCTGATTTCGTTGAAAAAGCTAGATAGCTAGACTTATTGTTGAATATTTTCTTAAAAATCATAATAATAAAAATCGTAATAAAAATTTAGTTGCCGAGACCTGACTTATCCCAAAAAGTTGATCAATTTATGAAATAAATAAAGTAAAGTTAGATAAAAAATTTTCATCGAAATCTATTTAACCGAAATTAAGATACAGATTTGGACAAATAAATTGATAGACCGTCAAATAAATAGAGAAACAACTCTCTGAAAATAGTTTATTTGCACTTCCCTACCATAGAGAAATGCATTTACGTCGAATACTTTACATGTGAACTTTGCTGCTTTCACACAACCTCGCTTATTGTATGCAATCCGGTGCCGGTAAAAAATTATTTATCTAAGTATCTCCAAAAATATTTTTGCTACAGCCTATTATCATATATTGGCAGAATCTGTGAATTCCCAGTGACCACAAAAAACACTTATAATCGGTCTATCTCTTCTAGTTTAGCCAGAAAACGTGTTTAAAGTTTTGCAAAACATTTTTTTAAGAAATAAGAAGATTTTTACAGAGATTTTGACAGAGCCGGAAATAATTAAAATGCCATTTAAAAAATATTATGATATCGTTCAATTATAGATTTAATATAAATTCTATAACGTAACTAATAAATTTAATCGAAAATACTTATCAAATCTAATTCTATAATATTAAGTGCTAACACTTTATTAATTTTTTTCCAAATTTATCAAGCTAATAACAAAAACGTTAATTCTGCTTGTAACATTCTGTATACTATATATGTACACCATATTTCATGGATTTGTATAGATGTATACATACATAGATAATTTAAGATCCTGTATTTGTGTTTTATAAAGCAGTTTTAAAAAAGTTCATTATAAAAATACAAATATTTTTTGTTTTGTGGTTTTTATAAGGTAAATTTATAAATGTAAACAAAAATGGAATGTAAATAAGTAAATATTATCATTTTCTCATAGACAATTTTGTATATTCGGCTATGTACGCCAGTGTAAGGTAAAAAACTTATCTGTTTTAATCAGCTGTTTAAAGCTTTTATCATTATCTAATTAAAAATATTTACGAAAGAAAAGCATTATACCAAAAATTTTTAAAGATAGCAGAGTTGAAAAAATGAAAATTTGAAATTTTTGGGCTTAGTGAACAGTAAATATATGTAAAAGTGAACAACACCTGTGACACTTTGATTAAATTAATAAAAATGTTATATAATAAAATTTTTTAATTTTTGAAAAGTTAGAAAGATAGGCCCGAAATTTCGAAAAATATCATATTAATTGACTCGATCTATAAAATATATGAATTATTGTAAGTCAATGTTGATTTAATATCGGATATTTCATATTAAATTTCTCTATATTCTATACAGTTCGCATAAATTTTAAGCTTACCTTCAATTTACTTTGATTTACATATATTTGCATAAACAATACTAGATGTGCAAAACACACCGAGAAAAGTTGCTATGAGAACATAATTATTCAGTTTAAAAGCTCTTGTTTCTTTTATTTTCATTCACATACATAGAAAATTACATTAAATAGTTTGCCGGTCTTTGGAATTTCATACGACACTTTATTCTATATGTTTTGCCACCTACATATATATTGGACATTTAAATAACGGCTTTTTAACAAAATATCTAGAGTTCTTTCTAATCTTAATTAAATATTTTGAAAATTGTATCGATTGCAAACAACAATTTAAAATTGAAATTTTATTCGAGAACATTCAAATTATAATACTAGAATACAACCCTGTTTTATTCATGTTATCTCTGGAGAAAGAAAAAAAAAAGTAAACATGCATAATAGTTAACAGATATTAGATTACGTGGAATCAAAATACAAAACAAAAAAAACAAAAACTCAGATAACAAGAGCGAAAATGCTTTCGTGGCTCATTTAATGAAAACAGTTGATTTTTAACTTTGCTCAATAACAAACCTATTGTTACAAAAAATAGTTATAGAAAATAAAAGTTAGTTGCGATAAAGAGAACATGGAAGAGGGAAATAGTGTAGAATTAAACAAAGATTTCGATAAAAATGTAGATGTAATCAATGAGAGTGTTGCTAGCAAAAATCCTATTCAAGAGCATGTTGAAGAAAATATAAAAAATGATTATAGTTTGGAAAAAATTGAATTTGAACAAAATATTGAAAATGAAAATGAGCTTAAAGAAATGGAAGAAAAAAATAAAAAACTTAAGGAAGATGTAAACACTATTTCAGAAATAATTAAAATTTACCAGGTCAAACGAAATATACATATACATATATTTTAATTTTAAATATTATAAAAATAATATTAATTAAAATTCAATTTAATGATTTCTTACAGATAACAAATGGTACAACATCTCATGCTACATACTATAGTCCAATACCAACTGGTTTTCCTGGTCCTGGTGGTGGACCACATTATCATCCAATACAAAGTGGTCATTTACAACCACAACAAATGTCACATTCCCCATCTCCACCAAATAATTATCATAATAAAGATGATCGAACTCAACGACAACATGCTAAATTATTAAGGAAATTAAATAATCGGGAAATGAGTAAGATTTTAAAATTTTTTATTAACCATATACTAATTGTGTATTTGATATAAAAATTCAAAATAAATTTAGATTCTGCCATGTCTACACCTGCTCATTCTCCATCGCCGAGAAAAGAGTTAAATGGACGAAGAATATCCAGAAATGGGGCATCTTCTGTTGGTACTTCAGAAGATGGAGAAGAGTCTTCCAGTGTGCCTGATGATGAAGATGATTGCCAGACAATCATTGAACAATTATCTGCTGTACAAAAACCTGAAGTAATATATTTCTATATATATCTTAATAAAATTAAAATGAAAATTTGAAAAATATTTAAATAGGTTACTGATATAACTTCGAGATCAGCAATGTTGAGATGGGAAGCTCCACCTTTATCAGATGCAATATTGAATAGTCGAGATTTACGATATGATGTTTTGTTAAGTGATCGCGGCAAAGAAGGAAAATATAAATTAATATTTAAAGGAGAATCTTATGTATGCATGATTCAAGACTTAAGACCTGGTCAAGAATATCACTGTAGACTTCAGGTAATAAACTTTTCTTCCTTTTTTTCAAAATTTTGATAATTATTTATAAATTGTTTTTATTGTAAAGGTTCATTACGAAAAACTTCAAGGAACAGTATCAGAACCAGCCGCTTTTACAACACCACCGTGTGAACCTGATCAACCATTACCACCAAAATTAATAGCACGAACAAAAAATTCCCTTCAATTACGTTGGCTGGCACCATGTGAAAATGGTTCACATATAGCCCAATATATATTAGAAGCAGATGATTGCAAAGGTAAAGGTTTCATGGAAGTAGTTAGAACAAAGGGTAAACAATATACTTTAACGAAATTGCAACCATCAACTTTATACAATTTCCGTTTATCGGCCGTGAATGAATGCGGCCCGTCAATGTATTCTGATGTGATAGCATTTAGTACATCTGTAAATTTACCGTCAACGCCAAAACCACCACAACTTTTAGCATCTAATTCCAATTATTTACGATTAGCATGGGAACATCGACAAACAGATGAAACATTCTGCTTACAAATGAATGATCATAGTTCAGGTCACGGCTATTTAACAGCATATAATGGTCCAGATACAATATATGAATGTTCAAATTTAAAACGTGCCACTGTTTACCATTTTAAATTAAGGGCAGAAAATGAAGCTGGTTCATCGCCGTGGTCAAATGAAATTGCATATAAAACCCAACCGGACAGACCGGGTAGACCTTCAAAGCCACAAGTAAAAGGCAAAATACATGGTAATTATTTTAAAGCGAAATGGGATCCACCAAATGATCGTGGCGGGGCTGATATTAGAAAATACTTTTTGGAAATAAGTTCAGGTAAACTTGCTATAAAGCTCCAAATTTTTAATTATTTCTTTTTAATCATTTTATTTTTCAAATCATAGGAGCAAAATTCCAACAAATTTATAACGGCAGTGAACCTGAAGCTATATGTGATCGTTTATCACCTGGCACAACTTACCAAATAAGAGTATGTTGTGAAGGTCCTGGTGGTGTTAGTAATTATTCAGATGTCTGCACCGTCACAACTGAAGCTATACAACCAGGCGCACCAGATCCGCCATATTGTGACAATGTACCAGGGCCATTTGCAGCTGTGTTAAGATGGAATCCACCAGATTATAATGGTGGTGCTCCAATACTTGAATATGAAATTAAGCTAACTGGATTGCCAAATTTTTGTGATGAAATTATATACCGTGGCAAAGATATGTATTGTATTTGTACTGACTTACGTCCAGGAGAATCATATGAAGCTAATGTACGTGCCGTTAATCGCATTGGTGCTGGTTCATGGTCTGGACCATTAAAGTTCAAATCTGGTGCTGCACCACCGAATCAACCAGATGCACCAGAAATATCTGTTCGTTCACCAACACACTTATCATTAACATGGAAAGAACCAGCATCAAATGGAGCACCAATAATTGAATATCGCTTAGAAAGTTCATTAACAGAAGATACAAAAAATAATTCATTTACTGCATGTTATCAAGGTTTGCAAACAACAGCGGATATTAGAAATTTAGTACCATACACACTATATTATTTTCGTTTAAATGCTGCCAATTTAGCTGGTCAATCATTATATTCACAAATAGTATCACAACAAACACCAGCAGCAGTACCAACTGCACCAGAAATTACCAAGTCTGAAATAACTGCTACTGAAGTAACATTAACATGGTCTGAAGCTGAATCAAACGGTTCAGAAATTTTATATTATCAAATTGAATATGTCATTGTCAATAGTAGTAGTATTAATAGTAATAATAATAATAATAATAATAATAACAGTAATAGTAGTAACAATAACTCTTCATCAAATAATATTAATAACAATAATAATAATTTAATAAAAAATGGTGGTAACTCAAATGATAATTCTACAGAACGTTTCATTAGCACCGAAATTAATTGCACAGAATTTACCATAGAAAATTTATTACCGGAAACTACTTATAAATTCAAAATCCAGGCTGTGAATGATATTGGAATTGGGCAATGGTCGGCACCACTAAAATTAACAACATTACCACCACCACCCGAACCACCAAAATTAGAATGTACTGGAGTTGGGCATAATTTTATTAAATTGAAATGGGGTGAAGGTAGAAATTTGGATTTTATTAACTATTATGTTGAAATGTATAATAATAGATTGAAAGATTTTCAAATTGTATATAATGGCACAACATTAATGTGTAAAGTTAATAAATTACAAGAACAAACTGCGTATACATTTAGGATATGTGCCGAAACTGATCGTGCTGGCACTGGTGATTATTCTGAAGAATATGTATTTAAAACATCAGCAACTTTACCAAATGGTATTAAAGCACCACGCATTGCAGCCGACACAATGCCAAATGATATAAGAACAGCTATAGCAACATCTTCAACTACAAATATTTTAGGTGGAGCTGGTGGTAATACTACAATTGGAATTTTCCATCCATTAACAATTGAATGGCAACATAGTAAAAATTCTTTTGTTGATCCAGTTGAATATATATTGCAGTGCTCAACGACCGGAAAAGAAAATGATTATGTAGAAGTAAGAATTGTATATATTTTTTAATTTAAATATAATCAAGCATATTTATTTTTGTTTTTTTTTTTTTAACATTTTAGATTCATCGTGGTCCTGACACTAGATATACAATTGATTATTTAGATCCTGGCTCAGTTTACTTATTTCGTGTAGCTCCAGTTCGTGTTACACCAAATGGTGATATACAAGGTTCATTTACCTATCCATTACGTTATCAAGTGCCACACAAATTAACTCAAGATCAATTAGATTCAATACATCATCATCATCACCATCATCATAATCAGCAACAACAACATCATAATACAAATTTAATAAATCGTGCAGCATCTACTAGTATATTAAGTGGAACTAATAATACAGAATTAAATCGTTATGGTGCTTACAATTATAATTCAAATCAACAACATAATATTAATGGACATAAATCAAATAGTAGTAGTGGTGGTATATTAAGCGGTTTTCTAAGTAGTGTTAGCAACAGTGTTGTTGGCGGTAGTAGCAATAGTTCTGGCAGTGGAACTAATAACAATAATAATATGAATATTGGTAATAATGGTAATAATGCAATTTTAGCAAATGATGGTAATTTATTATTACATAATAACAGTAATAATAATAATAATATGCTAATGAGTGGTAATAATAATGGTGGTACAAATTCTGATTTAATTAATAATGATGAATTATTTGGTATAAATATATTTGGTGCTATTAGACGTTTTATAAATAAATGTTATACATTATATACAAATCCTAAACATTTTTCAGATACACAACAAGCTATTTTTTGGATGTTTTCATTTTTATTAATTACATTTATATTTGCTTATTTGCTTCGTATGTTCATGAGATAAAATTAAATTATGTAATAAAAGAAATAATGAAATTTATATAATATATTTAAAAAAAAAAAAAAAACAAATCAAAATAAAAAGAAAAAAATTTAAAAAAATATATAAATATATAAATATATATATATATAAATAAAACGAATAATATATACATGTTATTATTAATATGTTATAAAAAATGGAAAAAAGATATATATATATATAAAATGTAATAAAATTCATATTAAATATAAATAATTCATATAAATATTTACTATATTCAGGTTAGAATTTTAAATATTAAAAAACAAAAAAAAAAAAAAAATAAAAATCAAATTTTTCTCTCTTATTTTTGTTAATTATTCAAATATATATATTTATATATATATATATATATATATATATATATCTATATATATATTTAATTTACATTTATGTATTTTAATTTTTTATTGTATAGTTTTTTTTTATTTAATATTTTTTGTATACATACCATTTGTTTTTTTAAACATTACGGAATAAAATTTAATTCTTTTTTTTTTTTTGTTATTATATTTCATATAAATTCAAATAATTATGCAATTGTATTAATTTTAATCACAAAATATAAAAATTACAAAAAAAACGAAATATTATTGTAAAACATTTATATACAAAAAATTGAAAAGTATATTTTGTTTTTTTTTCAACAAAGAAAAAAATTTGTAGAAAACTATATTTTTAAAAAATAATTTAGAAATTTAAGATCAATATACATTTATATACATACATAATGTTATATTACAAATATAATTATATATGTATACTATAAAAACAAAACTTAATAGATATTTTTATTTTTTATTTTTAACAATGATTTGTAAAATTATAATTAAAGAAATTACACATCGCGACTTTTCAAATGAAAAACAAAAAAATAAAAAAAAACAACTTTAACACAAAATAAAATAATAATATTTTTGGAAAATTTTAGTTTGTAATCTGTCAATATACAATATTATAATATAATAATATAAAATAAATATATTTACTTTTCATTGTTGTGACTAAATATAATTGATTTTCCTTATGTTTTTCTTTTTTTTTGTTATTTTGCTTTAATTTTAAATTATAAGGGGTATAGGTAAATAAATCGATTTTATACTGAATAAAAATAGAAGAAAAAATACAAAAAAAAAAAAATAAATAAATAATATACTTAAATAATTAATTTAAAAGAAAAATAATATTAAAAAAACACAAAAAAAAAATAAATAAATAAATAAATAATTCAAAATAAATTCAAAATAAAATAAATATTAGTTGTTTTTTTACATTTTTTTTTTTTACATAAATAAATAAATATTTTGATAGTTTAAATTTAATTTTTATATATAAATGAAATTAAACAAGAAAAAATATAAGTATGTAATAAATAAAAAATAATAATATTTGTACACACGAGCATATATATATATTATTATAATTATATATATATATTTTAAAGATATGTAGTACAGCTTTAGTTAATATTATCATATAATACTTTTATACTAATATAATAATTTTATACAATATGTACATATATGCATAATATTTATATACATAAACTGTAATTAATTTTGACTACATCGAATTTCATTTCATAAATAAAAATAATCGATAATATTTGTAATATTTCAATCACTAAAATATATATTTTTGTTTTTTCTTTTAAAATTTCTATGGTATTATTAAATATAATACATTTTTGTACAAATAATTTAAATGCAAAGTAATGAAAGAAAATTTTGTAGAAGAATCAAAATTGAAAAAATAATGAAAATATTTTAAGATTCTTGCAATTTAATAAAATTTTTTAACTAGAAACTAGAAACAGCAGTAAATTAATACGATATATAATACAATATAATATAATATTTTATAATACAATAATATTACATAAAATAAATAACAATATTTAAGGAATTGAAATTTTTTACAACAACAAAATATGCATTATTTATTTTTTGTTTTAATATTTTTTATACTTTTATTCTATACTTAATTAATATTCATCAAGTAAGATCAAAAAAATCAAAAATTGTTCTTTAAAAAATTTTAATGTTTTTCACAAAATGAAAATTTCCTATTCATAAAGCAAATTTATAAATTCTGATTGAATTCTCTAAAAAAAAACTTGCAAGCTTGTATATTTGAATAAATTGTGTTATACACGCATTTTTTATAGTATACTTGTTAAGATAAATTATGGAAAAAATTTTTAAATGTAAAAGTTTTGTATAAAATCTGAAATAAATCTGAAATAATGCAGAATAAGCATTTATGAAATTCATATTTAACAAAAATATAATAATTTTCATAAAATTAAAATTTTAAATTTATTCAATTGTGTAGGTTATATGTGAATACAAGAAATAAAATGCATATTTTTTTTTTCTTTGATATTTAAGAATTTAGATTTTGAGAATTTTTTTGTTTTGTTTTTGACAATAAAATTTATTTAGTTTAGCCAGAAGAAATATTAGTCAAAAGAAATTTATAAAATAATAATTTTATATAATTTTATAAATTTCTTTTGGCTAATATTTTTTCTGGCTAAATAAGCTAATATTGCTTCTAGCTATTATAAATTATTATTTAAAGAAGTAAAATATGAATTCAATCACATGTTTATTACGAATGCAAAATTTTTGATTTTTACTAACGAAGAAACTTTAATATTATTTATATTTATTAATTTAAGAATTTTTAAATTTATTTTTTCTCTATATTGCATAATAATTACCGCGATAAGTATTAATATAAAACAAATCACTCTTGCCTATAGCTTTTTCTATATAAAAATTCATATATTACATATATCTAACATTCTTTTTCAAATTTTCTAATAATTTTTGTAAAACAACAACTATTTTTTTTTTTTGTGCTTTTCTAATAGTGTCTATCGTGAAATATCTATTTTCTATAATAAATAATATAAAAAATGCAAAATAATATTCCTGTTTAAAAATGTACAAATTTAATAAAAAGTAAAAGACCTCGCTCTGGAACGATTCTAATAACGATTACTTTATTATTATGAGAAAAAAAAAAATCAATAATTATTTAATTTATTAAATAAAAATATTTCATTATTTACATAGATAAAATTGTTGGCACATTTACTTTTTTCACAGAACACAATCAAAAATTAATTACTATGATTATGTATATAAAAATATATGAATAGATAAAAATAATAATTTTATATTAAATTTACATAATATTTAATTTAATACAATTAACAAAATGCATCCATATGTATATAATATATATTTCTAAATCTTTAAAACAAAACAAAAAAAAAAAGGATATTTTTATGTGCAATAAAAAGTTTAATTGTTTTTTTTTTTATATTAATTCAAAAATATTGAATAAAATTCCTAAAAAAAGTAAAATAAAAAAATTTCATTAATTTTTTTTTGTTTTTAATATGAATATTATATAAATATTATGTTTCATATTCGAAATAAGTAAATATTTATAAAAAAAATACCATTATGTTTAAGTACCTGAAAATTAAAGTGAATAATCTCAATATGAATTCAAAATGAAATATATAATAATAAATTTTTTTACATACTTAATTATATATATATATATATTCACTGTAAAACAAAACAAAAAAGTGTTAATTACAATATTTTTATGTATTTTGTTTATTCTATTTTTTTCCTATTACATATTCATAAATACAATTTATATTTTATATATTCAATTACAAAGCATATTTAATTTTCAGTAAAGGTACAAGCACCACACGTATATAACATTAAATAATTAAGTGAAATCAAGGAATTATTTTACTGATCAAGACAAATTGCATGGAGGTCCACAGTGAAAAGTTTTTCTAAAATTAATTTAAATTTTTTTTTTAATACTAAAATTGTTTGTATTAGAAACACTGAAATTTCATTGGAATAGTCGATCAAAAAATTGTTCATTTAAATTATTTGGCATTTCCGGACAGAAAAAAAGTAAAAATTTAAAAAATAAACTTTTGTATTAAAATTAAAAATAAATATTATTAATTATTAATTTCTATTTTTAATACAATAAGTTTTATTAATTTCCTATTTTCTTCACTAAACTTTATTCAATGACTATTTTCATATAAAACTAAAACTAATTTAAACCTTGAAAATTAATTTTATTTAAAAAAAAAATTAGTGTTGTCATTTTTCAAAAATTCTCCGTTTATCACTTCTTTTCTTTAAAACTTAAGTGAATTTTTCTGATATTAAAGTGAATAACCTCAGTACTTTTAAATTGAAAACCATTAAGATTTTTAGTATACGAGTAATATCTGAAATTGCAAAATTGATATAATTATTAATATTATTGTTAATTAATAGCTGGCTTTAAAGTTTCAACGTCTATCGCAGCCAGTTGATCTATTGTAATTCATTATTACACTAACTATACAACACTTTTATAATACAAAGATGTACTCTATTAAAATTCAATTATAAATAATTTTCAAGGAATTGTTTTATATTTTCAAATTGATTAATGTTCGATAGCCTTAATTTATTGCCTTCCAATAGTTTATTTAATTATTTAAAACTTTGTCCGAGTTTCCAAAAAAAAAAATTAATAAAAATTGAATAATAAAATTTAATATAATTCGAATTTAACTGATATAATAACAAAATATTAATTTCGATCGTATATGAAAAATCCAAAAATCCAAATTTCAAAATATGCTTATAAAACTTTAAAGGATAAAAACTAAAATATTTATAATAATTTTGTTAATGTGTGAATTACAAACTATTTTATTGTAATTTTTGGATTTCTTTTTTTGTATAAAATAAAACACGCATATAAGTTTTAAGTAAATGTAATATACATAATATAAACCATACATAATTATTTTTATTAATAAACTATTAAATTAAAAATTAAATAACGCTTCAATGTTTATGGGACATATTTTTTTTTTTTGTTTAATTTTAAATGTTGTTAACGTTGTTCAAAAAATTTTTTTAATGCTTCCATTCTATAAAATCATATTATAACAT